ATAAGTGAGTGTTGAGCAATGAGAATACATGGACACAGGGAGGGCAATATCACACAACTGGGGCCTGGTGGGGGTGGGTTTAGGGGGGGGGATAGTGGGGGGTGGGGGGAATGGGGAGGGATAACATTAGGAGAAATGCCTAATGTAGGTAATGGGGAGATGGATGCAGCAAATCACCATGGCATGTGTATACCTATGTAACAATCCTGCACGAACTGCACATGTACTCAGTACTTAAAGTATAATAAAGAAAAAAAATTATGTCTTGTTGATCCATCTAATATTGACAACAGAGTATGAAAATCTCCCACTATTATTATGTGGGAATCAAAATCTCTTTGTAGGTCCCTAAGAACTTGCTTTAGGAATCTGGGTGCTCCTGCATTGGGTGCATATATATTTAGAATAATTAGCTCTTCTTGTTGCATTGATCCATTTACCATTATGTAATGCCCTTGTCTCTTTTGATCTTTGTTGGTGTAAGTCTATTTCATCAGAAACGAGGACTGCAACCTCTGCTTTTTTTGTTGTTGTTCTTCTGTATTTGCTTGGTAAATCTTCCTCCATATGTTTATTTTGAGCCTATGTGTGTCTTTGCACATGGGCTGGGTCTCCTGAATACAGCACACAGATGTGTCTTGACTCTTTAACCAATTTGCCAGTGTCTTTTGATTGGGGCATTTAGCCCATTTACATTTAAGGTTAATATTGTTCTGTGTGAATTTGATCCTGCCATTTGGATGCTAGCTGGTTGTTTTGCTAGTTTATGCAGTTTCTTCATTGCATCAATGGTCTTTACCATTTGGTATGTCTTTGCAGTGTCTGGTATCCACTAATCATGGAAAGTTGTTCCTTTCCATGATTAGTGCTTCCTTCAGGAGCTCTTGTAAGGCAGGCCTGGTAGTGATGATATCTCTCAGCAATTGCTTGTTCGTAAAGGATTTTATTTCTTCTTCACTTATGAAGCTTAGTTTGGATGGATATGAAATTCTGAGTTGAAAGTTCTTTTCTTTATGGATGTTGAATGTTGGCCCCTACTCTCTTCTGGCTTGTAGGATTTCTGCTGAGAGATGTGCTGTGAGTCTGATGGGCTTCCCTTTGTGTAACCCAACCTTTCTCTCTGGCTACCCTTAGCATTTTTTCCTTCATTTCAACCTTGATGAATCTTGACGATTATGTGTCTTGGGTTGCTCTTCTCGAGGTGTATCTTTGCCACGTTCTCTGTCTTTCCTGGATTTAAATGTTGTCCTGCCTTGCTAGGTTGGGGAAGTTCTCCTGGATAGTATCCTGAGGAGTGTTTTCCAACTTTGTTTCATTTTCCCTTTCACTTTCAGGTACACTGATCAAATGTAAATTTGGTCTTTTCTCCTAATCTCATATTTCTTGGAGGCTTCATTCATTTCTTTTTACTCTTTTTTCTCTATTTTGTCTTCTCACTTTATTTCATTGAGTTGATCTTCAATCTCTGATATCCTTTCTTCTGCTTGATTGATTCGGCTATTGAAATTGTTTATGCTTCACAAAGTTCTTGTGCTGTGCTTTCAACTCCATCAGGTTATTTATGTTTTTCTCTAAACTGGTTATTCTAGTTAGCATTTTGTCTAACCTTTGTTCAAGGGTCTTAACTTCCTTGCATTATGTTAGAACATGCTCCTTTAGCTCGAAGAAGTTTGTTATCACCCACTCTCTGAAGCCTGCTTCTGTCAATTCATCAAATTCCTTCTCTGCCCAGTTTTTTTCCCTTGCTGGCAAACAGTTTTGATCTTTTGAAGTAGAAGTGGTATTTTTGGAATTTTTGGAATTTTCAGCTGTTTTGCACTTGTTTCTTCCCATCGTGGTGAATTTATCTATGTTTGGTCTTTGAGGTCAGTAATCTTTGGATGGGACCTCTGAGTGAATGTCCTTTTTATTGATGTTGAAACTATTTCTTTCTGTTTGTTGGTTTTCCTTCTAACAGTCAGGCTTCTTGGCTGTAGGTCTGCTGGAGTTTGTTGGAAGTCCACTCTAGATCCTGTTTGCCTGGAACGACCAATGGGGGCTGCAGAACAGCAAAGATTGCTGCCTGTTTCTTCCTTTGGTAGCTTCATCCCGGAGGGGTAGTCACCATATACCAGCCAGGGCTCTCCTGTATGAGGTGTCTGTCGGCCCCTAATGGGAGGTGTCTCCCAGTCGGGATACATGGGGGTCAGGGAGCCACTTAAGGAGGCAGTCTGTCCCTTAGTAGAGCTCAAATGCTGTGCTGGGAGATCTGCTGCTCTCTTCAGAGCTGCCAGTAAGGAACAATTAGGTCTGCTGAAGCTGTGCCCACAACTGCCCCTTTTCCCAGATGATCTGTCCCAGGAAGGTGGGTACTTTATAAGTCCCTGATGGACTGCTACCTTTTTTCAGAGCTACCCTGCCCAATGAGGACATCTAGTGAGACAGTCTGCCTGCAGCTGCTGGGCTGTGGTGGGCTTTACCCAATTTGAACTCCCTGGCAGCTTTTTTTTGCACTTGACGCTGAAACTGCCTACTCAAGCCTCAGCAATGATGGATGCCCCTCCCTCACCAAGCTTTAATTGAATGCTCTGAGTCAAAATCAGACTGCTGTGCTGGCTGCAAGAATTTCAAGACAGTGGATCTTGGCTTGCTGGTCTCCATGGGGGTGGGACCCACTGAGCCAGATCACTTGGCTCCCTGGCTTCAGCCCCCTTTCCAAAGGAGTGAATGGTTCTGTCTTGATGTTGTTTCAAGTGCCAATGCGGTATGAAAAAAAAACCCTGCTGTGGCTAGCTTGGTTTCTGCCCAAACAGCTGCCCAGTTTTGTGCTGGAACCCCAGTGCCCTGGTGGTTGTGTTGGACCCAGAGGGAATATCCTAGTCTGTGGGTTGTGAAGACCATGGGAAAAGCATAGTATCCGGGCCAGAGTTCAGGAAACAGTTCCTAATGGCCGCTCTTGCCTAGGAGAGGGAGTTCCCTGGCCCCTTGTGCTTTCTAGCTGAGGCGACACCCGACCCTGCTTTGGCTTGCCCTCGTTGGGCTACACCCACTGTCCAATCAGTCCCAATGAAATGAACCAGGTACCTCAATTGGCAATGTGGAAATAACCTGCCTTCTGTGTCAATCACACTTGGAGCTGCATACCAGAGTTGTTCCTATTTAGCCAACTTGCCTGGATCCCTGAAAATATTTTTTTAATCAATTAATTCATAATTGGAAATCTCTTTGAGCTCCTTGCAAGATGGATAGTATTCCTTTGGCTTTAGACTTTTCTTTTTCTTGATACTAAACAAATATTTCTGAAGTCTTGAAGACTGTTGTCTCACCACTCAAGCCTTGTTTCTTTCAAGTGATTAACTTCTAGCCCTGTCTTCCAGCTTGCTTTCTTTCCTCTGCATATCATGTCCATTCTTGGAATCATTCAAAGATCCCTCTTGCAACAAAAACAAAACTTATACTTCCTATTTGAGGGTCTTCACAGCCTAAATCAATTCTTATTTTTAGTCCCATTCCTGGTACAGCCATAAGCACTTGCAGACATGTGGAAGCACTGTCCCAAGAAGAAATCTCTCTACCTTCATATATACTTCTTCTATTCCTGGAATGTTCTTCCCCATCACTTGGCTGTAATGCTGCTCCAAATCATACCATTTTAATGTTTCCTTGTTTTCTTCCAGTTGAAATAACCTCTCTCACCCTGCTTTGCCGTTAGAGAACATATCTGAATAATCATTACTTTTTTCTGTATTCCCCCTACTTTCCAAAACAACTATTCCACACCTCTCTTTTAGGTTCAGATAAAATACCCAGCCAGAAAAATAAGAAATTTGGGCACTTTGTTCCTCATCTCTCAGAAAGGCTAAATTGTATGAAGTAAGTACAAAGCACCTAGAAAGTGGGAGTATCAATTTAGCCTTGAATAAATACCACACTTTTTAGCTTCATTGTGGCATTTTAAGCCTTTTTTAGCAGCATTTAATGTATTTTGCTCTGAACATATTATTTCTGAGTTCCAAATTATTGACATAAATAAATTTCAAGAACAACAATATCTTTATAAGACAGAGTCACAGGCATTTGAATATAGCATTGCAACTCTTTCCTGAGCAGAACAAGTCAGTTCTTCCCAGTTTGATAGGGCTGAAGTAGAGGGCAGAATCTTACCAGCTTCTGATTATTTCTGTTATGCTTTTCATACTTAAGGGGTTATAGAAAACCAGTGCAGGCCAAGTAACCCAGTTTTTAGCATGTACCTATGGAACCAAGGAAGAAGATAAAAGGGAAAACAGCATTTCCTAACTTCTTAGATTTTTCAGAGGAGAGATTTTCTGCATCACCATCTTACTTTCACAATGAAAACAATTGCCTTATCAGGGAAGTCATCTTCCTGAATGGGTGAAGGGAACCAATATTTTATCGAGCTGTCAATTCCTTCCAAGAGCTGTGCCCAGAAGATTTTTTTCTCTTATTTGAACAAAGATAAAAAATTATTTTGAAAATCTTTTTTCCCTCACCCTAAATCAAACTTGAGTTGAACAGAGAAAAGTGAAGTGGTTAAGTGACTTTGAAACACATTTACCACCCTGCCCCCCAACCCATCCACTCCAACTTATGCAGTTAAAGTGAAATCAAAGAAATACAGAGGCTAGTATAATAATTCTATACAGTTTATGCAAATAATGATCTTATAGGATATTTTAAGAAAGTAACTTAGAAGTCCATTTTTTCAGGCTTCATGTTTCATTCATTTAGAAAGCAATGGAAGTAGGACTTCAAACTTTATTTTTTACTTTATAAAGGTATGATTTACTCTAATTTATCTTTGAGGATATAAACCTGAGGCTCTTCTATTTCTAGAAGGGATATTTACTAGGATTTTAGGGCCTAGAACATAAGTGTGGAGAAAATGCAGAGCACAAAATTTGTAGAATTTGTCATAACTACCAAAACATTTTCATTGAAATTTGTTAAAATTTCTTACATTAAAAAAAAGTTAATTAAACAACCTTGACGGTTCTTACCTGGACTTAGAATGCTACAGCAACTGCAACAAGTTCATCCTTTTTCTGGTGTTAAAGTCCCACTTTGAATGGTTAGTTGGCTTTTTGTTTGTTTTTGTGAGTCCAATGATGATTAACCTTCTCATTACGTAATTGTCCTGGGCAAACAGAAAAAAAAAATGTATTTTGTACATTCTGGTAATGTGTGCGTTCTGAGAAATTATTAATAGAACCTTTAAAAGACAGGCTTCTTTTAAAAGTTCTATTAATAATATCTCAGAATGCACACATTATTTTATGTTAACATTAGAAAATAAATTATTTCTGGGAATGACTTATTTTTTATGCAATTAAGTTGGTTGCATCTTTTTCTTTAGAAATACAAACACAACACATTATCCAAACTATTTAAAACTGTTCCAAATAAAAAATTTAAAAATGTGCCTACTGGTTACATTAGCATTCAAAAAATAAAGCATACCCTCTTTGCTTGTTACATGGGTATGGGTCGAATATGATGTAGATGGACACTGGATATCCCACATGGAATACTAAGTTGCCAATTAATCATAAGACTAGTCTTCTAAAGGACAAAAATCAAGACTGGTTTATATGATATATTCCTTACATCAAAGCTTGAAGAAAGAATGGTGTCCTTCTATTGACTTGGTTTTTAGAGACAGGAAGACCTTGACTCAGCTGAAAGTTTTCTTGAGTAAGGATGAAGTCAAATTAATTAATTCAGTAACTCAAATATATTTGACTCCCTTCTATACCTCAAGCATCTGGTTGTTTCTTATCTCTTTCTGCCTGTTTACCCATGGAGCTGATAGAACTGAAGAAAATCCAGCAACCATGCTGACTTTAAATTTATCATGAAGCCAAAATTGACCTTTTATTTTGCCTAGAAGTCACACTGTATTTTTCTAAACCATGTCGTTCACTCTCTGAGTAACTGCTTTGCACTTTCATCTCTCTCCTTGAGATTCTTACATGTGTTTCCCTCTGTCCATTTTCAGCTGATGACCTATTTCAATGACCAAAAATAAAGAAACCTTCCAAAAGCTCCCTGGACCACATCTATATAGGAAAAGCATTAGTACCACATGTTCTACCTTGATGAACTGTCCACGTGAACGCTAAGGCCAACCTACACTTTTATCAGATTGCCTTCTTTCCTTGTGCTGTCGAGGATATCGCTTTCCCCGTTCTAAAGAAATATCCCCAGCAGCAGGTTAGCATCCTCTCATTTCCCCATCTTTCAAGATCTCTCTTTGGATTCCACTCTTTATATTGATATGGCCCTATTTCTGCGCCATTATTACAGAAAAAAAGTCTCATTTATAATTATTGTTTTCAACCTCTCTCCTCACAGTCTCTCTTGAACACACACCTGTCAGGTTTTTGTCCCCAACTTCCTAATAAATTCCTAAGTCATAAATTACCTAAATTTGGCATGTAATGATCCTCATCTGACTTAACTATTTGCGGCATTTTTCAGAGTTGAGGATTCTCACCCCTGGCAATACTTTCCAGGACACTATTCTTTGCAGTTTGCTTTGAAACTTTCACTGACTTCTCCATTTACAAGTCATTGACTAATTTTTTTTTTTTTTTTTTTTTTTTTTTTTTTTTTTTTACATTTTTTAGGCTTCTTAATTAAAACATTTCAGGATTCAACTTTTGCATGTATGTGTATGATCCTGTCTATTCTTATGTCTCAAAATACCATCTTTATGTTGATAATTTCAAAATTTGTATCTGTGGCCAAAGCCTAGCTCCTGAACTTTAGATTCATCTAGTTTCCTCACCAGTTCCCTCTATATCTGTAATATGTATCTCATACTTAATATTTTCTTTTCTTTTCTTTTTTTGTTTTAAATTTGAGAGGGAGTTTTGCTCTTTGTTTTCCAGGCTGGTGTGCAGTGGCATGATCTTGGCTCACTGCAATCTCTGCCTCCTGGGTTGATGCAATTCTCCTGTCTCAGCCTCCTGAGTAGCTGGGATAACAGGTGGCTGCCATCATGCCCGGCTAATTTTTGTGTTTTTAGTAGAGACAGGGTTTCACCATGTTGGTCAGCCTGGTCTTGTACTCCTGACCTCAGGTAATCTGCCCTTCTCGACCTTCCAAAGTGCTGGGATTACAGGTGCCAGCCACTGCACCTGGGCCATAATTAACATTTTCTGAACAGGTATCCTCATCTTCCTTTCTCAAACCTCTTTCCTCCTGGAATATCCTTATTTTAACAAAGTCTATTCAATCCTTCCAGTGGCACATACATATGCAAAATATTGAAATAATTTTTATTCCGCTGTTGGTCACGCTCATATCAGGTTCAAATTTCAAATTATACCCAGAATGAGGCTACTTTTCAACACCTCCACAAGTTTTATTCTGGTTCTGAATTATTGCAATATCCTCAAACTTGTACCTCAGCTTGTCTCCTGTCTACTCACAGCCCCTGTTCCCCAACCTCACTTCCCTGTGTAAATCTGAAAATAGCAGTCAGGGTCATCATGTCAAAGCAAGTCATATCATGGCATTGCTGTGCTTAGATCCCCACTCCCGCCCCACCAGTGGATACCCACATCATTGAGCATAAAATCCAAAGAGCAATCTGAAGGCTCTATAGCTCCTATCCTGAGCATCTTTCATCCTGTTGTTCTTTCTGTCCGAAATGTTCTTTCCCAATACTGTATCTGCATAGCTCAATCCCTCACCATGTTCTAGTACTCACACAAATGACACTTTCTCAGTGAGGTCTTCGGTGAGCATTTTTTATTATTACTATTTCTGACACTCAATATAGCTTTTTTGCTACTTAAATGTTCTCATTATTTATCAGACTGTGAATTTTGCTCACATATTTTGTTTATTGTCAGCCTTCCTTTGCCTCACAGCTAAACATTTATACTACTGAGAAAGCTCTAGAAGTGCAAGGATGTACTTTTATCTTTTTTGTTCACTGCTGCATCATCTGTGTCTACAGTAATATCTATTACCTAGAAGATACTCAATAAATATTTTTAAAGGAATATATAAATGTAATTTCCATTTTAAACAACTTATAGCAACTAAATGATGTCAAAACCAAGACTTAATCTGGAGTAATATTTAAAATGATAAGGAAGTTGGCTATAATTACATATGACACAGTTATCCAACTATCAATGATCATGATATTAAAAAGCTGAAAACAGTCAACAACTGATTTTCCTTAAAGAGTCAGACATGACACTGATGCATACTATGTTAAGAAATTCTCCATGAAAATTGTATTCAAAATCTTCCAATGCTTCCTAGCTCACTTAGAATAAATACCCAAGGCCTTTCTACATCCTACAAGAATCTACACAATCTTTTCTTGGTTATCCCCCTGACAATATTTTCTACAAGTGTTTCCTACTCAGCCGTTACTATCCAGCAACACAGACCTGCTTGATATTCCATAAACCTTTCACTTATATTCCTGCCTCAAGTCCTTGTCACTTCGTCTTCCTTTTACATGAACTATTTTGCCTCCAGATGTTCATTTTTCACTTCAATTATTTTTCTGCTTAACCACTGCTGCCTTGCAGATGCTTTCCCTGACCTATAAGAAAAGGTAGCACTTGTAACTCTCTAATGACTTGCCCTACTGACCCCTCCATATCTGTTAAAATTCCATATTTTTAGAAATTATGTTTGTATATTTTCTTTCCCAGTAAACATAAGCAACAAAAGGGAAGGAACTTCATCTTTTTGTTCAGTCATTTTCTAGTATACTGCTTGTTATATTATAGAAACAACAGACATTTTGAATAAATGAGTCAATTATGCCAGCTGCATGGATCGTGAACAGGTCTGACACACAGAAAGAGATTAGCAACCCTTCTTGCTTCTTATATTTTAGTGCTTCAGCCCTGTGGTCTTCAATGTGCGATATGCATTCTCTCAGAGAAGTGAGAAGGTTTTCCAAAGGATATGCAAGTACAGATAAAGTTTTAGAAAAAAATTAACAACTTCATGGAAGAATAATTTATATGCAGTAAAATGCACATACATAAAGTATACCATTAAATGAATTTTGACATAGGCATTCAGTCATAAAACAAAGATAATGAAGATGGTCATCCCCAGAAGTTTTCTCCTGTCCCTTCCTACCACTACCCAACTCAGACCGGAACACTGAACTGCTTTTGTCACTATAGGTTAGTTTACATTTTAAAAAGAATTTTATGTTAAGGTACATCAAACAATAGGTACTTTTTTCTGCTTGACTCACCATAATTACTTTAAGGTTCAACCATACTGTCATAGACAAAATAATTCATTCCCTTCAATGCTAGTTTTTTCTTATATGAATATACAATGTATTTATCTACTCACCTGTTTATAGAGCTATACTCGAGTGAGTTTAAACAGAAGCATCACGTACTGAGTTTGTTAAGAGTTCATTTTTATGCCGGCATCCGAGAGTCAGCTAGAGCCCAAACCTCTCAGCCAAGAACAAAGGGCAGTCCACATTTTTATACCAGTTTAGGGTCAGGGGACGGTAAGCAGATTATTACAGAAGCAGAAGGAGTAGGTTAAGGGAGAAGTGGGGCCTAACAAAAAGTTCTACTTAAAATTGTTTTTTTACTCAGAATGTGGGGTAGCAGTTACATGGTTATAGATATAGGATGTACAGGGCCAGTGGGCCCTGTTTCTCAGAAAATTGGTTACAAAGATGCCAGGTGTCTCAGATGGCAAGCTTTTGGAACAGAATGCCCTATATAACTCAGTGTGGGCAAACATAGCTCGGGGTGGGCAAAATGGAGTTGGCAGGATTGTTTAAAATGTATTCATTATAGCCAAACTCAAGCTAGGATATTTCATTTTCCACTGATGTTTTGGCCGAATTAAATCATGGATTTCTTAGTGGTATTCAAGGGATAATAGTGGGTTCTGATATATATGAGGCTGATGCCATTTGATGAATTTTAGGAGTTAATTTAGTATATATGGTCCAAAAGTTAGACTTAAAAGAAGGAGGAGTAGGGGGCCTGTCAGTCTGGTGATTAGGGTGATGACTCAGGGCTTTCAATTAAATAGTCCCTGATACTATGGAG